GTACTGCACGTGCACACACACGTACTGCATGGACACACAGCTGCGTGACACGTACTTCACGTGCACACACACACACGTACTGCATGGACACACAGCTGCGTGACACACACGTACTGCACATGCACACACACACTGCATGGGCACACAGCTGCGTGACACACACGTAATGCATGTGCACACACACACACGTACTGCATGGGCACACAGCTGTGTGACACACACATATTGCACATGCACACACATACACAACACACGGGCACGCTCTGAACTCAGACCCTGAAGCGCTCTTCGAGTTTATAAGCCACGTACCAGAGCAGAGTCAGGCACTCCGATCGGCCACGTCCTTTAGGGCAACCACCCAACAGAGACAAGTGCCTGGCGTTTTGAGAGGACCCCGCAGGGCCACACCCGCTGTCTGGGGCCCGCTGCCCTCTCTAGAACCATGAACTTGACTAGCACAGCAAATGTTGGCCCAACACGCTCAACACGGAAGGCTGGACAGAGGACCAGGGCCTCCACAAACGAAACCGTCCGATGTCAAACTAATCACACGGCGTTTCTCGCTGTCACACAGAACAAGTTCTCCGAGCTGCATGACCTTCTAGAATCGAGGATGCGTGCACCAAGACCGTTACGTCTAAGGGTTTCCATGATAAGAACGGAGACTGTGCAGCTCCTCCGAGCCCACACAACGCCAACACCAGGACTGAGAGCCGCAGCAGCAGATCTGGGAGAGCCCGCGACCCCCTCAGATTCGGGAGAGAAATTGCCAGAAGCTCACGCCTGCCCAGAGCCCCACACGTACTTATTGCGTGTGCTCCGTTCTCCTCGCCGTTCACGGTGGCCTCTCCGTTCTTTGGTGGGTGCTGCTGGGCCACGGCCGCCGGGGCTGCCGTGGCCGCTGTCGTCGCCGCTGCCGCCGCCGCCGCCGCCGCCGCACTGGCCTGCTGCTGCTGGGCGAGCTTCTCCCGGAAAGCCTGCTGCCGCGTCTGCACCACGTCCGGCATCACAGCGTCGATCAGGGACAGGGACTCTATGGGGCGGCCGTCGAACACCGTGCCATCCTGGGGAGCGAGACAGAGAGGGCAGCCATCAGCCCCTTGCACTCCGGCCCAGCATGGTGGGACCCAGAGCGGTGCCCAGGGAGTCCGGGCAGGTGAGGTGCAGGGGGAGGGGGTGACCAGGGACATGGCATGACCTCGTACGGGGCCCAGGCCGCCCGGCTGCGAGGGATCATCTGGCCCCCACTAGTGGGGAAGCCGTGCCCGGACACCATGGTGAGCACAGGAAGTCTGTGAACAGCCACCCAATTCTGAGGGACAGGCAGCTCTCTGGGAGCCTCCAGCCCGCATCAGGGATTTCGGCACCGTTCGGGTTGGATCCCTAGTACACCTGTCCATCAGACTTAGGGAAATATTCATCTGCTGTCACCGGGCTGAGAGTGTTGACTGAAGATAGCTGCGGTACTCGGGCGACAGCACTGTCTAGTTCCCACGCATGTTTTTTCAACTTGTTTTGATTCTTGGGCTATCTGCAATGAAAAAATCCCCATACCCACTTAAAAACCCAGGAGGCCGTTTTCGCCTTTGAAATTGCTCCAAATATTAGAGTCGAACAATTAGTCGGTGCTTCTGGGTGGTGGCTGCTGAAAGTGCAAATATGTTTTTGCATATTCTGAACTCAAATGACCTCGGAAATTAGGAAGAAGTGAACCACCTGAGTTTCCACTAGACGCGATCGAAAGGACACTTGGCCCCAGCTGACGTCTGGCCACCATACAATCGTACGATGTTACATCTGAAAACAGCATGACACTTGGAAACAAGAAAACGAGGAAAGGCTAGAATACGTCTAAACAAGGAGCCGGTCACCCCGTCAGCCACCCTCACACTTCAGTTCTGGTCACGGCGTGGCCGACATCGACCAAGCGGTCAGTATGCTTCCGTGTCACCTGCTTCAGAGTCACACCTCAAATGCACAAAGACTTGGTAAAAAGTAGGAACTACCCAGGGTAATGAAAACACCGCGTAATGTAAACTCTGAAAGCAGGCTGTCCCACGGTTCAGGGACTGCAAGCCCAAGTCACCAACGAGACGCCTTTTTCTTCCCCTCCCGGCACGCCGGAATGTGGAACGCAGGAAGAGAAGCCACCAGGGCTTCCCGACACACTGAAGACATGGAAACTGGTGAGCAAAGACATCTGGTTGCAGCCTTGCATGATCTGAGAGCTCACTGGGGGGGGGGGGGGGGGGGTCTCTGGGGTCACACGCTCCTAGCCCCAAAAAACTCCTTTTTTGTGGGAAAAAGAGACCAGTCGGGGCCTCAAGGGGCTAGTGGAACACCACCTCTGGACACCCATTCTGGGGAGGAAGGAGGAGAGGGCCACGGTCAGGGAAGAATGTGTGCAGGACACATAGAAATTCGGGGGTTTCCAAAGATGTGGGTTTCTGGAAATGGATGGATCAACACAGGTGACGGAGTACAGGACTTATTACTTTCGTCCTTTTGAAAAGCTAAAGAGAAAGCAGAGTTAAGACAGGCTTGTAAGGAGGAAGTCCATTCAAGGAGAGGGAGTGGGGAAGGGATCCAGCGGACCGCCCACGGGTGGCGTGGCCGTGGCTGGTTTCCAAGCTGTCCCACGGTCCCCAGGCTCTGCAGGCTGGGGCTGGGGCCAGGCCACCGCCCTGCGCCCGGGAGCGCACGTACCTCATTGATGCTGATCTCGGCCTCCACGTACTGCAGTCCCTTCTGCAGGATGGAGATGAGGGCAGCCGGGGGCACCAGCGTCCCGTTGATGTTGGACTGGCTGATGTGGCTCTCGATACCGAACGTGAATGCCGAGTGGGAAAAACCTGCAGCGAAGAGAGAGCAAGGAGCAAAGGGTTTCCTGAGGCCTGAAATGAAGGGTTGCGGGAGGCGCAGCCCTGGGGATCCAGAGGTGGCCCCACTGATCGCAGATGCTCCTGATTAGCCGGGGGAGGGGGGGGGGTTGGGGGCCGCAGGCGTGGCTGCAGGATGCCCAGCTCCAGGTGTGGGGTGCAGCGAAGATAATGGGCAGGGGGACGGGAAGAAACACAGGGGCCCGAGGCCCGTGTGCAGGGGATGAAGACACAGCTTTGGAGGCTGAACCGTTTCGGTGTTATTAACAGCAAAAGGCAGCACAGTGTGCCCTGCAGAACTGTTTCTTTACTTTTTGCTTTTTTGTTTTTTGAGTATTTTATGTACTTGACAGAAGGAGAAAGAGAGCACAAGAGTAGGGGGAACGTCAGAGGGAGAAGCAGACTCTCGGCCGAGCAGGGAACCTGACACGGGGCTCGATCTCAGGACGCTGGGGTCATGACCTGAGCGGAAGGCAGGCGCTTTACCGACTGCACTACGCAAGTGCCCCGGGGAAATGCTTCTGTTGCAAAAATGCAACTCTGGGCTTTCTCCCTGTGTTGCCATTACTCCTTCCAGAGCTCCCTGCTTCGGTCTCCGAGTGTTCTTGCCCAGCTGGAGTGCACACCTTTCTGGGCGCCTTGCTGTGGCCGGGCTCATAGCGGTCACGGCAGGTGGGGGCCAAAGCAGCACACGACCTGACACCCGAAGAAACACGGACCATTTTGGACCCACTGGGGTGGCTTGAGTCGTTTTCCCTAATCATCGGTAACTTTCCCCGGGCTCTGGGGTGCTGGCTCTTCCTCCTCCTTCCCTCTGCACTCATACAAAACAATGTCTACTTCAAGAAAGGACGGCGGCAGCGCAGGGCAGGGCGGAGGAGGTGCCGGGGACTCATGTGGGGTCCGAGGGTGATCAGGAACCAGCAGTGGCTGCCTCTTCCTCTAGCAGAGTGGGGGGGGGGCGTCCCACAGCCGGAGCTGCCGCAGGCCTGCACGTCCGCTGGGAGTACCGGCCCCTTGGGCCGTCTGGGGCGGCCTGGGAGCCAGGGAGCTGGGAAGCCTTGTGGGGTGCTGGCCTTGTGAGTAACTGGGACCCCTATGCTTGGCTCCTGGCTAGAGGTGGAGTGAGGCAAAAGGCACTCCCCTTCGCTTGTGCAGGGGGTCTCTCGGATCCCGCTCTCCAGGGGTCTCCTCCGCAAGCACCTCCCCATCACAACTGGCTCATCTTACATGCTGGTGGGCTGCAGGGGGCTCCCCGGGGTGTCCCCCCGCCAGCCTCCAACGCCTCTTGCACGGCCTCCCCGAGTCACGCGGCTAGCACCCCACCTTCAGAAGCCAGACGGACAGGGGCATCGCGTGGGTCCCACCTTCCAGCTGATTCCACGTGGGCTCTCTGCCCTCCCCGAGCAAAACACAGCCAGCTGTTGCAATAAACGCCGTGCTCAGCAGATGGGAATGTTCCCCCGTGAAAGGCGCTTTCTGGGCTTGCATTCTCCTCTCCTCTCCTCCGTCGACTTCCTGCTCCTCCGCCGACTTCCTGCTCCTCCGCAGCCCGCCCATCCATCCCCCAGCGCCTGGTTCTAAGGACTACAGACAACACGTCCTCTCTTTCTTTCCTCGAGTCCTGGGCCAGCCACGGTGACCAGCAGGCTTGGCTGCTCGGCGGCCGCGGACTCCCTCACCAGACCACACCTGCCAACGACCAGTGCAGGCCCGCCCTCCGAGGGCCAGAAGCTAAGGCCCTATACTCCCCGCCTCCCCCTGCCTTCAACCTTGCCCTCCGGCTCCTGCCTTTCCCCACCCCTCAGGCCAAGATAGAACCGGCAGCCCCTGCTGACCAGTGACTCTTCCCGGGGCCCATGCCGTGCCAGAAGTCTCATCACCAAGGTTTCCCCGGTCAGGTTTCCAGCGCGGTGCAGATGCGGAAAACCCCAGGTCAGGGGGGAGCAGGACCCTTGAGACCCTGGCCTGACTCCCCGTTGCCTGGAATTGTCACCACTGCTCAAGGCCACAGTGATGTTCTCCTATTAGGAGCTACGAATTCATTCTGGCTGCTGACCCCACTCCCGGGGCCAATGGCTCCTCTCCATCTGTGTCCCCTGGCAAACAGGGCAGAACTCTGGACTCCCACAGCTGCTCGCTCTTCTCCTGGCATCTCTCTAGAGTCTACAGCGGGGCCACACCCACATGGGCCTCAGAACAGTAACAGGCCGCCCTTACCGGGGCCTGCTCCAGGCCAGGCACAGCCCCAAGCCCTCACCACGACTTTCCATAAGCCTCCCGGCCACCCTGTGCCTTTGCCACCCCAAATGCAGCACCCCCTTCTACTGGGCAGATCTCGAGCTCCTGCCGGGGTCCCCAACAGACACCCCGCACTCGGCCAAAGGGCTGTGGCTGACATCCAAAGCCGGGCAGTGCGATGCCGCCCTCGTCCGATGCCGCCCTCGGCCTGTCAGACAAGCCCACCGAGAAACGTCTACCGAAGCCGCCCGCGGGGCCCGGCATCCCTCTCGGTGAGTAATGGCGCCAGTGGGGAGGAGAGCTCAAGCCTCCACTCCATGTCTTCCTGCGGCCTGTCGGCAGCTGCACGTAAACTCCGCAGACCGGGGACTCACACTTATTTCTCACAGTTCTGGAGGCCAGAAGTGCACGATCAAGGTGCAACATTTGGTGGTGTGGGGAGGGCCGATGGCTGGCGCACGGACGGCAGAAGGACACGAATCCCGTTCGGGACAATTCTGTCCTCACACGCGCATCACCTTCCAAAGGCCCCGCCCCCGAGTACTATCACCCGAGGGCTGGGATCCCAACAGAAGAACCTGGGGGATACTCGAAACGCAGTCTAGCGGAACATTTCCGTCCCCCTCCCCTTCCTGCTTCATCCGCTCCAACGCCGGCCGCAGAGCTGCTACGCGCGCACACGGAAGAGCAGGTTCTGACCGAACTGCTGCTGTGATGCAGCTCTGGGCCCTCGGGGTCCACGACCTTCCAGGTGGCTGCTCCGTCGGTGCTGTTACGGGCTTACACACGTGGACGGGAAAGACTGGAGAAGTTAAGGAACGGGTCCAATGCCCATGTGTGTGATGAGAGGCAGAAGCAGAATTTCAACTCTCGCTGTAGGTTTCCTCTGACCCTGACACGCACAGGCACAGGAACCGGAAGCCTTCAGTTCCCTGCATGGAGGCCTACTGCGTCCCCCAGCCGGACCATGCCGGCTCCCGTCGACCTCAGCCACGGACGCAGTGCAGGCAACTTGCAAAGGACAAGCTGCAAGCCCACTTCTCCCGCCACATCCTCGGTTTCCTTCTGCATCCGGTGTTGAAAGGTCCCGTGTAAGGTCTGGCTGCCTCAGTTTTGGATCCCTGTGCGTGACCGTGCTCTGCGACAGACCCCACTCCGAGCACGGTGGTGACTACGGTCAGGGAGGCCGGCCGCACGAGGGGGATGGAGCTGGGAAGACGAACCGAGGGTGGGAGAGGAATGGCCAGAACGCGCGTCCCCCACCAAAGCAAGATGACGACCGAGCGCTCAGGGTACGCGGCGGAGCCTTGAGTGTGAACATCTGCGATGTCCCTTACTGGGGGTCATCTACTGGCTCCCCTACTGGGGGGAACAGAAAATCATGAGTGGAAACCAGGTGTCTTCAGAAACACGCGGGAATGTTCCATGTCACCTCCGAAACGGGTCCTCCTACGTGCTTATGAACTCACCCAGCTGCAGTTCCGCTGGGCCATCTACACACGGCCTCACACCACGGTGTTCTCATCCACCTGTGTGGCCACCCCTTCATCGAGGCAAGCGGGAGGGCCGGTGCAGAGGATGTCAGACCGGTCTAGAGCGCTGGGTCCGCCCTGACTTGCCACCGAGTGCCTGGGTCAGGTCCTTTGGCCGGGCCTCTCTTGCCGGTTCTACACTGTGGGGATACAACGTACCGCAAGGAGCGGACGGGAGAACCGGGCGTGAGAGCAGCAGGCGGGCATAGTCCTTGAATCCGGGGAAGACCAGGAACTGGGGAGAACATTCCTTCTCCACTTTCCTCGTCTGTACAGGGAGGACACTGGGGAAACCGTCCCTCGGACACTTTGCCATCCTGACGCTCGCTCATCGTGGAATGGGGGCTGTCCACAGACCACGCGGGCAAGGCCTGCTTGAGCACTTTCCCTCAGGCCCCGGCCACCGGGTTCGGCTGTGCGCCAGTGAGGCGTGTGAGGCGCCATCCTGGAACACCGGCTCCTCAGGCCAGAGGCTTCTCCCCGGGGGCAGGCCCCACGGGACTCCGAGGCTAGGGTGCCTATGCACCGGCAGTCTGCCGGAGCGGTGGGGCTCCCGGGCCTCGTACCCCTTCAGCCTTCAATGCTTCTCTTCCGTCCAAGGGGACAGCAGTAGGAAGAAAGCACATCATGTCATCATGTGACGAAGACGGAGATAGGCGAGACTGGCCCAGCGGCTGGTGTTAAAGTCGTGAAATAGGAGGGGAGTAAAGGGCTTGGGGGCACCTCGATGGAAGACCGGTGTGCGGGCTCCGCGTGGGCGTCCCCAGGGTCTGACACCCGGCCAGCCTGGAGCCATCACCGAAGCAGCAGGCTGGCCACCTACTTAGGAAGAGGGACCCCCGCACCAGCTGCCGACAGCAGGATTTCTGAGCTGCGGCATGACCCACACCGGGCCAGATCCTTCTCTGCTGCGGGTGCCACGGTCCTGTGTGTTGCAGAACGCCGAGAAGCACCTCCGGCTTCTCCCGGAGGGATGCCCGTGTCACCGCCACTCAGCCGTGACCACCCCAAGGGTTCCAGATACTGCCTACTCGACCCCGCCGTGGCTGACAGCCGGTAGCCTAGAGAAACGAGACCCCTGAAGGACACGCCGTCTCCTCACAGTTCTGCTTCACTTACAAACACGATGGCGGGGGGGTACTTGCCCCTGAAGGCAAGCTAGCCTCTACATGCACTTGGCCACAGATTTCGGGTAACACC